CCTAGACTTATAACTCACCAATCCAGTGAGAATGATGGATAAAAGACCAAGTTGCCATTAAATAGCTCTTTTCTTCCCTCTTGTGCCTTTTATATCTCTCTATCTGTCTACATGTGCTTCTGTGACACACACACACACACACTGCAAAGACTGCACATAGACATACACCGTGGTGTGATTTATTGATCCCTGAGACAAGGAGCTGCAGTCCAATGGGAGTCTCTGGTGATAAGCATGACTGGTCTCTATAAGCAGCAGAGAAGCAACTACTGAGATAATAAGAGTGAAAAGGAAAGTGCTGAGAAGCTCTTACAGGAACACAAAGCTCACAGTGGTGCTGAAGATGCCGCTGCTTTAGATCCTTAGGTTCAATATTTATTTAACTTAAATTGTACACGTGCTAAATTTTAATTGAAAAGGGGAAGCCTTTGTGACTGAAAACATGGCATAATTCTGACACACCCAAGATCACATCAAACACAGACGCTGACACATCGACTCGTGTTTTTAAAACAAACTCCCATTCATTTAATATCTGAACAAATTACGAACAATATTAGTATAATCAATTCGATTTTAAGAGCTATACACAGTAGTTTTTGTATCTGGTTATATCGTAACTGGTTGTTCAAAACTGGCTACAAGAGTGACTGCAAGTGTGAATGGTTATCTGTCTCTCTGTTGTGTTAGCTCAGTGATAGACTAGTCCACTCGATTGGCTATTATTTGTGCCTTTTTTGTGCTATTCTTCTAATTTAGTGGTCGTCCAAGGGTTCCCTTCTTTGTTGTTGTGTTGAGCAAGATCAGAGAGTTGTACAAAGATACTGACAGACTGCTCTGATGGAGATTCTCATGATGTATGAATGTAGCACCATGGGAACCTGCCAGTGTACGAATAAGCACTGTTATAATGTCAATAAAAAGCAACCATGTGTATCAACAACAGGCAAAATAACCGATGTAAAGTCAAGGGTCATAAATTAAAGTCTTCTCACCTTTGAAGCGAGGAACTAAAGCAATACTGGTGAATGACATATGAGATACATTACCATACAAATACATTACCTACACAAAGGGGGCTTGGAATATCCTCTTGCAAACTGATCAATAATTGAAAAGTGATTTGGAACAAGTAAATCACTTTATGTGTGGGTGGGACTTAAGTCTTCTTTGCTGTCTCACTAATTTTATATTTACTAATTTGATAGGTTTTGTTAGGTGTCCCTGACTTTACTCATTTTGTCCTACTGGTTATTTAAAGGCTATAGCAAAAATAATACAAAATTTGAGAGTCTGGTGAGTCTGTGCTGCACACACTTTGGCAGACAAATTAGCAAACACTGCTTCCTGTACTCACAGTGGTCGGCTGGCTAATGTTAACATACAACTCAACCCCAGTGAGAAGACAGTCTGAAATAATGCATGAATTCCCATTTGGACATTTTGAATGATTGCAGCAATAGATGTGCCGTGCCTTTCAAACTCATAGCTTCCATTTTATCAGACTTAACAGTCCTTGTCCACAATCAAAGACATTATACAGTTATATTAACAGGCTAACCTGACCTTTAAGTATAAAATTGGTTTCTCTTACTCTGTAAATACATAAAAACAGGATACTTTTGTGCCTATAAGCACAGGACTCCTCAAGTGGTGTTGCACTCTGGCCAGATTTCATTGGCAGTCACTGAATGTAATGTGATGCAGTGGAGAGGATTACCCAGGATTCTCTGGGAGTTTAACAAATGAACGAGCGACACAATAGGAAAGAAAATCAGGATACTGGTTTTCAATATGATATAAGTATTGTACTAGCCTTAACTGTGTTCTGCTCTATGAAGACTTAATCATCTTAATCCATTAATCTCTGTCTAGCTATCTCTCTATCTAGTAAATCTTTTTGGAAGCACTCCCCTGCCTGTAGATACCTCTGTTGGGCATCATTGCACCACCTTTCACTGAATTTAGATGCTGGAGCAGGCCATCAATTGATACTTTCAACTTGCCTGACCTCATTACGTTTGCAGTGCTGCCCCCGTTCATTTAATATAGAAGCATTTGTATGCAGCTCTTTTGTTTGTGCTGCGTGCCACCGTGAGCATTTCTTACTAAAAGGCAGCACCACAATACTGTCAAGTGGTGTGAAGGATGCAATGCTGGTGTTTCACCACAGTAGTTGACATCAAGTTGATCACCCTATTTTTCTAAAATGTAAATTATACTATCAAAATAAATAAGCTGTTGCTATACATGTAAAAGGAACAGTACAGCCGTTTTATTTTAGCTTTCAATAGAAAATCTACCACAGAGCAGCATTAAGACCACCGGGACAGCCTTCTAAATACTTTCTACAAGCTAATTAGTAATCAAAATTAATTCATGAAGCTGCCAGCTGAACATTGACAGATGATATTAGATCTGCATACTAAGAACAGAGAAGGCAAGCCTCCCCTGTTCTTCCCTTCTCCTCTCTTATAATATCAGTAAGACATGCTCAGAAAGACTAGTCCTATACTATAAATGACCTACTGACCCTGTTCATAACACGTAGGCTGGGTGCAGCACTGGCCCTGCAGCCTATCCTTATACATGCACACACAGCACAGAGTCACCTTTCAAAAATGCTGTTGTGCTACAAGAACAGATGCAGAGAGGGAGAAAATAATGTCATCATTTCCTGCTTATAAGTCGAGGATGGGAAAGCAGGCAGGAAAATGTGGACTTGGAAGTGGTCCAGGGCTATTTTCTTAGCATTCATGCCTGTGCTGCAAGTCACACCAGCATTATCACAGAGCCTAAAACTTGCTAGACCAGCCCAGTGGAGCGTAACAGTCAGCCAGCTCCCTGAAATCACCCCAATATGTCACTTCTGTGCAGTCAAGGTCAACTGTCCGCTCAGATTTTGTCACTCTAACTGCTTACATCTAAATACATGCTTACAATAATGTGGTGATTTATCTTGTTTTGGGCCTATTCCCCTGGGTGCTTTCACCTTCTAATACAAATTCACTCATTATTATGCACGGCAAGCATAACAGACCTTTGTGACATGTGAGTGATTTTGAAAAGTGTAGATTTGGAAACATTTGTAATACAGCTCACGTACTATGGAGTAATTTCCTTAAATCTGTTGTGTAATATTTCTGAATTTAGGCTGTTATATTCAGTACTTAATCATACTTAACAGAAGGTATATAATATAGTTTATAGAATAATGGTGATAACAAATTTTCAAGGATTGAAAAAAATATATATCCACAGAGTTTAGGGGCTGTATTACTGATTAGCCTAAGCTCCCCATTTTACATTGTAATTGTGTATTATTTAGGGACAATAAATTTGAATTAATTATCCTTGAATTTTTCAATATGAATAATTACATTAAAGCTTTGAATTTAAAATAGCTCATTTGAATGGCACAACCCTATATATACTTTGTAACCACTATGTAAGAAGAGGTTAGGCTACTCAGTAATACAGTCCCTAAAAGTACTGAGTAATTACAGTGCAAGATGTGTAAATACTGTTTGTCTTTTCCTCTAAAATATCATGGTGTTACTCACTACTTCAAATTGCTTACAGTATAATTTGTTTCTTATGTCCTTTAAGAACTCAAATTGTTACCCTTATTCCACCGTACCTAGCGATAATTCTGAACATTTGCATTGTAAGTGTTGAGCTATTACACCGTAAGTCACAGGCTGTGCTATGAAGTGCTACCATAGGTTGCTGTCATTTTGGAATTTCAGTGTGTTTTGTATATGTTTAATATCTAAAACCCTATATTTACACAACATTAGTCTGAATGCGTAAAATGTTTTGTGTTTTTTCCACATCTGCTAATAAAGTCATTAGTGGGATGATTTAAAAAGAAGAAAAAGACAACAAGAGGTGACAGTTTGGTGTGGAGCTGCTGTGCTAGTGTGTCTGGATGTCTGACACCTTGAGTATGAAATGAATACACTGGAGAGCGAGCAACACGTTTGCCTGGGAAGAGCCCACAGTTGTATCGGGGGAATGAATTACAATGGATCTAGACTAGACATGTAAATGGCTATAATTAAGATAATAGCGACTTTGCTTTTGGGGATAAAAAATAAGCGGCTATCAAACACCTGTTAAAAAAGAAGCCTCCCACATCCTGAAGAAGCAAAGACACAGCAGTGTCTTTGCACTGTGTCTGTAATATTCCTGTAATTGGACATTATGGAAAGAATGTAGAGTATGTATGATGTTATTCAAGGTACATGTCTCATGGTTACAGCTCACCTTTGCCCTTATATGTATAGGATACACTTGATTTGAGAGCTTTGGCCCAGTGTTATTTTTTCTAGCGAGTCCCCCTCCAATGCACTTAAAAAGACATAAACAAACACCGGACAGACGAGGCTTATTGTTTCTACCAGTGTGTGTGCGTGTGTGTGTGTGCGCGAAGGAGAGAGAGAGAGCGAGAGACCACAGCGCGAGACAACCATGTTCTCCCAGCCTCCTCGAGCCAGTAACCATGACAACAGGATGGCTGGGAGACACGGTTCAAGCTCAATTGAGGCCGGTGTCTTTCTTTTCCTCCAAAATAGTGCCTTGGTCGCGTTTCAAGACCGACTTGTCCTCCTAAAAAAGCAGAGGAAACGCTTTTCTCTGCCTCCTCTCGGGGGACACAAACACACAGACACGCACACACCTCCGTAAAATCCCACGGCCCGCACGGTGCGTATCTCACAGCCTGCATTAGCTCCTCAATCACGGCTCTCCTTAAGCTTGCCGGCGCGAGGAGGCTTGCAGCCCCGCGTGAGCATTTTTGCTCCCACATTAGCAAGAAAAACAGGAAAACTAAAGACAGCCTCTGTGAGAAATGCCCCTCTCGCTAATAAACTACTAAACGGTCACCCAGCATGGGCTTCGCTAGACCCGCCGGTTAAACAGCGCTAACACAGTCGCACTAGGTTGATATCTTCACACTTTGACCGTTTGTCTTAAAAATAAACGTGTCGTGTCTTCACTCACCGGTGAAATGCATCCAGTCGGATGCTGAAATATGCTGGGAGTTGCGCGGCGGCACTGGTCCTCTCTCCCACTCTCTTCCCCTACATCCACACGCCACACACTGACAGACGGGCTCTTTTTTCTCTCCCTTCCTCAGCTGCCCCCCTTCTCGCTCGCGCGACCGACGTTGACGTCCAACCGAAGCAGCTCGTGGTGTCGTCTCGCGCCTCTGCTCAGGCTGCTAGGGGAAAGCGGGAGGTCCGGATTAATTCTGATGAATGGACGGATGAACGGAGGCGTCCTGCCCGTCTCCTCCCCAGTGTGGAGCTTATGCGTGCTTTGAGTGGCAGCTGAGAAACTCTAAACCCGCTCCTCGGACCGCTCGGGAGTACCATCCCTCTCCCGTGGCTAGAGCGCGGTGTGAACGAGACGTGTCTCGATGGCCTGTTGATATCAAACACTGCAGCCCGCAGTGAAGATTAGCGCCGACAGTTGTGTTGACATAAGTGCTTCTCGTCTTTGACCACTGATGATAACCTGGAGACCTGGAGCTTAGTTGCAGCTGGACCGGTGGTATTAGAGCTATAGAGTGCTGAAAGGTGGTGAAACCTTTCCCACGCTAAGGTCCTGGGATCTTGGATGGCTTTACCCCCCCTCTCCACCAGATATTAGAATTAAGAATTAATGGTGTGAATACAAAAGTTTGGGAACTGACCAGAAAAAGAGAGCATGTAGATGATTTACAGACATTCAGATGGTGTTGTCCAAGGTCTAAAGTCCTGCAGCTGTCATATCTGGGATGCTGCATTGGTCATGCTGAAGTTTGGTTTCAACAGGAATTCAGCAAGATGCCTGAAAAGGGAAAACATGACCTATGAAACAGTCAATAGCCCGCTTGACCCACAGTGAACCATGTTACATGAAACAGCTCAGTGTAATCCTGCCAGAACATACTGTAACCTACCACACATAAATGAAAGTGAACATCCTAATGTTCTTGTATTGTGCAACTGATGATGGAAAAATCTACTTGCATTTTTTTAATTTTATCGCAACGGACCACTGTCTTGACTTTTGACCTGTGGTTAGCCTTGAGTTCTGTCAGAAGTTGTTTTGTTTTGTCAGTCCCCCTTTTTTTCTAATGCTGTTTGTGCTCCTACCTCCTCTGTCAAAACTATGATTAAAGCCCACTGAGAAAAGCAATAATCCCAATTGAACCGCTAAACACGAACACTGGTTTTAAGGAATGAGCACATAGTGTCAGATAAACACTTTCTGCAACGCCTTAAATTGCCATTAATACAATGCACATGCTTTTGCCCCGCCCCATATTAATATTCATGTGTATGTGCACATTTGCATTTGTCAAAATGAGAAATTGCCAGATAGTCTAATTTTCTTTTTCAGACTGATAGAGACACCATGGTATGAAACTGTGATTGTGCTGTCAGGCTGCTGATGGTGCCTGCTCTGAGCCACATATGATCAGTTGGATTGCAGAGGATTTAACACAAAAGTGTTATCATTCTTGGTCCAACTAACAGGTAAGCATTTAATGTTATCTCTCAGCATATAGTGCAAATTAGCTTCTGTTCCCCCTCTGCCCTTGACAAAACAAATGGGATATTTTCACCCTGTAACAGCATATGTCTGACACCATTTTTCTCTCCTTTCTCTTTCACTTCACAAGCACAGCTAAATTCAATAAGGAGGCAGTTCAAACCATCAGAACTGCCTTTGTACAGTGCTCTGCTTTGACAGTACCTTCATACTAAAGAACCTCAAGGTCATGAACAGGAGCACAGCAGTAGCATCCAATCATTCATATGGCTCTGCACTGGCTGGTGCCAAAATCTTCCAATGTTGGTACTTCAGGACTCTGAAGCACGTCCCTTTCCAGTGCTGTCCAGGAGTGCCAGGTTTTACAGTAACATCTGCACAGACTGTGGAGACCTCAGTAATATCCCAGAGATCAATAGAGCATTAGAAGGAGACTGAAGAAGGGGGAGAGCGAGTGAAAAGGGTGATGAAGCGGCACAGGGAGAATTAAGAGGAAGAAAAAGAGAGAGAGATGCATAAAGCAAAAGAGATGATGATGTGGACAGAACAAAAGAGCCTGGTGTGCGTTTGAAGACAAGGGGAGGAGAAGGTTAGAGAGGGGAGGCCCATAGCCAGGCAGGTAGAGGAGGGGTTTATCCAAGGAGAAGGATGGAGAGAGGAGAAGTACAAGGGGAGGTGGGGTGTGAAGATGACAAAGAGAGTTCAGAGGATGCACAGATGACCAGAAAGAAAGAGGCACGAGAGGGAGAGAGGGGTGGAAATAGTTTGGAGGAAAACCCACTGCAGACGCAATGTCAATCCTAATTACTAATTCATTAACCTGCCCAGATCCTTTCCCCTCCCCCTCTGTAGCCACACAAACACACACACTTGCACACCCACACATGCACTCAGTGCTCTCCGCTTGGTCCCTCCTCTATGTCCCATGAGAGGCGGACGGCTGGCGAGATGGAGAAATGAAGAGGTGTGTCTGCAGCTAAGTGACATCTGCAGGGCCACGATGCTGGCAACGTGTTGGGAGCGCTGGAAATCCCTGATGTGACGATGGGAGGGAGGCGGGGAGGTAACTGGTGAGGGGGGGAAGCTAACAGCTTGCATTTTGGTTTGTTGGAGCGGGTGGTCTCCTGTAATGGTGCATATGAGTGTGTTAATGTGCACGGCTGTGGTGTCAGAGTATGTTTATGCGTTTGTTCCGTCATGCATACACATGGGTGCCCAAATGTGCAATCACAAGGTGTACTGGCATGTTGAGTGTGTGTGTGTGTGTGTGCAGGTTTGGGGGAGATAAATCAATAAGCTAATGCTGGTCTGCTCAAGTAATAACATTGTGTCTTTAATCAAAGCAAGGGGGAGGTGCGAGAGAGACTGATGATGTCTGTCTGTGTGTGTCTGTCTTTAGCCCCTGCTGTATGACTCTTAGCTCTGTATGTTCGGGTGTGTGTGTGTGTGTGTGTGTGTGTGTGTGTGTGTGTGTGTGTGTGTGTGTGTGTGTGTAGGCCACCGAGGCACACACTGATGTTGTGCATCCACACACACCAGGAACTCCTGCAGCATTCCTCTGCACATGCTCACATATACAACTCATTAGGAAGATGGAGATGCAAGCATGCACACACATGGGCATAAATTCAAGCACCCTAGGGTACACAAACACACATATACACACACACATCAGAAGATGCAGTGCTGCTGACTTTGGTGGAATTAGATACAGAAATCTTCCAAACAAGCATTGATCCGAGAGTTTACAGCGCCGGCTCCGTCTGCCATGTCAGGCCAAACAACAGGGAGCTCTGCGAGACAGCTGGGGAGCACTCACACACACCACACACACAAGCAGGAACCACTGTGGGCACATATATGTAGCACACACATCACAGTATGTGTGTGCACATGGTGTGGCTCTTTGATCGCAGGACTTCATAGCACAGTGTGCTGGAGTGTAAACACGTGTGCATCTGTGATATCTGATATTAAATTAATACCAGTGTACACACAGATTCATTGGTGCAGATAAATAGGAAGAGTTATTTTAAAAATATATATAATATATATGTTATAAATAGATATAGATATATATAGACAGTGTGCAGTCTTTATCCTCCAAGCTCAGGTCCTCTACCAGAGGCCTGGGAACTTAGGGTTATGACACTCACTAGTCCTCGGCCCCCTTCCTTACGCTTAGCGTACAGTCTCGGGGTGCTGGGTTTGTGGTGAAATGCTCAGAAGCTTCCTTGTCTTGAAGTCTTCCTTTGACCAGCAGGGCATGTGATCACCGGCAGGGCGAAGGTGTTGATAGCCCGGACCTTGTTCTTACCATTCAGCTGATTCCTCAGGACTTGCCTTACTCTTTGCGGGTATTTGGTGATTGCAGCTTTCCAGCGGCCTCTTTGTGGCTCCCACTGGCCTGTGGGATTCCCAGGTATAATTTTTTTAAATAAAGTTCCCGGGTTTTACTTATGCTATGCTTAGTAAATCTCTGATAATGTTTCAGTTTAATTCTATATATTCTATATATTTACACTTATCTAGCTGATTTCAATTAATTGAATTCAGTTAAATCCACTATACTCTACCCTTGTAACAGTGAATCACAATGAATCACAAAGCATTAAATGTGTGAAAGTAACCATTTAATGTGTATTTCTGTGTGAATACGTATTTATGAGCATCACATGCTTTAGCAGCGGGGAGAGGGGGCTCTTTGGCTTCAGTTTTGCTGTTTTGTTTTGGTTTTCCTGATACACTGCACCAAAAGGAAGAATGCCAACATTTAGCAAAGCTAGGACAGAAATACTGCTGCCCCAAGAGAATGTAAAAAAAAAGCAGAATATGAATGGGGGGAAAAAGGCAAGCTACAAGTGTCTTATGATAATAGGACACTTATCTAAAAAGATGGTTAGAGTAAATATCATAAAGAACCAGAAATCTGTATATTTTTCAAGCGTTATCAACAGCCACTGCCACAAGTCCTGTGTATTATTTAGCATTGAAAATTCTGTTCTTAACCCTCCTCAGTCCAAATGCACAGAAGCTATTTTTACATTTCTTTGTTGATGAGATTTTAACTGGTAGAGCACATATCTTACATCCTTCTTATTACCCTTTCTTTATTATCACTCCTGCAGTTTTAGCCATTTTGTTCCAGTGTCTGTCATAACTGAGGAAACTTGTTACTCAGATCGGGCTCTCCCAATGATATCCTCCCACTTGTTTGTGTTTTTTAAAGACATTTGGGGCACTATTGGACCTTATATTCAACAATATTGGAACTTACATTCAAAGGCTTATAAGCAGCAGCCTGACTTAAGATGATGTACAATGTCTGATTGTTGTCCAGTTTCAGACCTATTTCAAGCTTCCTTTTCATTTCTAAAATTTTGGAAAAAGTAGAGATCTTACAGCTGCAGCCTTTTTTAAACACTCCCAATATTTCTGAGGTATTTCAGTCAGGTTTTAAAGCAAATCACAGCACAGCATCTGCACTTTTGAACGTTTTTATTAGTATTTTTTTAACCATTGGCTTTGGGGACTCTGTCATACTTATGCTTTTGCATTTCACAGCAGCTTGTGACGCATTAGATCACAATGTTTTAATTTCCCACCTAGAGCAGCATGTTAGAGGCATTGCCTTGGAGTGGCTCAAGTCAAAACTGTCTGACAGAAGTTTTTCCGTTTCTCATGGGAAATGTCATTCATCATTGGCCACCCTCTGCTGTATAGCTCAAGGATTCATCCTCGGGCCTCTTCTTTTTAGTATTAACTCCTAGGTCTCTTATTAATAAAACACACTGCAGATGACAGTCAGCTGACTTTCCACTGAATCGTATTGAACCCAGCCCCACAGTGCTGATGTTAGGATGCCTCAGGGGATCAGAGCATGGCTGGTTCTCACTCTTTTAAATTTTCATGAGGTCATTATTTTTGGGCCGAGTGGCCCAAGCTGTCCACCTTTCTGACTTGAGTCCTCTTGCAACATGTGTCAAACAAGTTGTTACCAACCTTGTGGTAAAAATGGATTCTCTAGAGTTGATCCTTTTTATCCTTGTTGTGACTTAAAGTTTTACAAGCATTTGTTATTGTAGTGCACTTTAGGTCGATATTGATCAAGCCTCACTATCACATTTACAAATGGATGCTGCTGCACAGGGACATACACGTGTGAGCACATTACTCCTGGTTGTGGAGCCCAAAACAGAGGTAAAAGGAAGTAGTATTGTGGCCTTTATTTGCCCTTTGGATACACATATATTACTTGCTATTACTATGCTGTCGTGCAAAATATGGTTTTTAAATTTAAAAATGAATTTCAAATCCATTCTTCAATGCCTTACAAGACAATTCATGTTGTACTGGTTGCCGTTTACAAAAAAGAAAAAACACAAGGAGCGAGTGTTTTGCGTGAATTTATTACACTTGGGAAAAGAACTCTAGCAACGGGAACACATCAGTAACACAAAGGCCTTGCACTGCGCATTTATCTTTGTAACAGATTCAGCAGAAGAAAAAACAAAGAAGTCGCACACTTACCTCCTCATTGGACATCATTATTAAACCGCACGCCTTTGTGTCGGACTCCAGTGATTCCCTTGACTACCTCATCAGCATTCATTACCTCTGAAAAGGAAGGGGGACACCACATGTCAGCACTTGTGGTGTGTATCTGTGTAAATGTCATTGTGTGTGTGTGTGTCTGTGTCTCTCATCTGGGTCATTATATCCACAGGCATGAAAAAGCAGGTTACATAGACACACTTTCCTCCGAGAGACAGGAGTGCAAATGGAGCTGGGAAGGGTCCTCATTTTTCAGCGTCAGTCACTTCCACCTGTGACCACTTGTCCTCGTGAGCTGAAGGATGAAAGTAAAGAAAATGATATACTGTGTGTGTGTGTGTGTGTGTGTGTCAGAGAGAGCGAGATGATGTATAAATCTATCTCTAAAATGAAAATGGCAATGATTCTCAATGAGCATTCCCAGGAGAAATGAACAAAAAAAGTAAACTTCCATGTTTATTTATGGACAAAGCCGATCTGTATTTATTTGGGTTTGTGTGTGTCTGTGTGAGAAAGAGAGTGTGAGAGAAAGACAGCCAGCCAGACGAACAAGGGAAACACTGGCGGCCCTGCCAACATGATGACAGAATGTGCCATGTGTAGTAGCGACACTTAGTGTGTGTCTGTGTGCGTGCGCGCACGCGCGCGCGTGTATGAACTAGTCGAGTCTGCTGGGCAGCCAGGTCAACCGACAGACCGATCACCATGGCAACAGTGCCACACTCTGCCCCTATGTGTCAAGCTGTAAATATGGATGTCTTTGGAACCAGAGGACAACTGGACAGTGTCAGGTCCAGGTGTCGTCCGTCCAAATGCTAACCGCCTTGCTAACTCGTATGCAAGAGAATTAAAACCTTAGGAGTTTAGATACCCAACCATCCAAAACAATCGATAGTGCACAAGAGCAGTGAAGAAGAGCGCACAGGCAGGAGTGAGGGGATTCGGGACAGAAGGACAAGAGCAAGAGTGAAAGGGAAGGTTTGAGGAGTGAGACCCGCTATGATGGATGTTTGAGATGGTGGCAATGACAAAAAGACATGAGGCCGAGCTGGAGGTGACATAGCTGAAGATGCTATTTTTGGAGACAAAGACAAGGTGGAGATGGTTTGTATTTTAAACTTTATTTATACAGATAGCCCCATTGACACCTAATGTCTCATTTACAAGAGAGACCTGTTCCTCTTAGAGATGCAATATTACCTTATCTGGTCTGCAACTATGTTCTATTCATCACGAGTATGTGTCATAGGAAAGGCGTCAAGATCGTTTTAGTGTCATTCAGCTGTTTTGTTTCCTCTCACGGGTCCCGTCAGCAGTGACAAATAGATTTAGATGAATATTATTATTGCACACCAGCCTACCTTCCCAGCACCAAACAGCACACACACAGACTTAGTTTATAGCTATTATAAATCATTGTAAACAGCTGAAGAGGACATTTCTTTACCCAAACAAGAAGTGGTGGAGACCAAAAAGGAAAAAATAGAGGGATTTACATTGGTGGATGTGAGGATCAGTAGCTGTTTGCTAGCAGCACTAATAAGGTAATGATGACATATTTGCGTTTACAGTTTTCCCTTCCAAGGTAATTAATGCTGTTTTAACTGTTTAAGCTGCTTCTTCGTGTTGATTCAGCCACACCATGTAATCAGCAAAGCAGCTCTGCCTGTAATACTCGCGATTAAAATGGGGTTTCATTTTTAATCCATGTAAAGCCTGGTATTTTTTTTATATTTTTTTTTGTATTACAATGTGGAACGTAAATCAGTATCCACAGCGTAAGCTTGCATTGCTGCATGTACATGAAAAATGCAGCCTGTGTATGTAATGATGTTACGTTTTTCAAATGAAGCATTAAAAAAGTCAACATACAGCGCTGGTGGCACGTTGTGGCAAACACTCAGCACTGAGAGCTTCATCACAGTCGCTTCTGCCAGTTAAAAGACGCTGGGGACTAAAACAATATTTCTTTGCGGTCGTTTTAGCCGCACGCGTCTCTCATGTGAACCCATGCTAATGCACAACCTCTGCGTCAGCCCATGCATTAAACATGGAGCAGCTGAGGGGGGATATGTTGCAGTACCAAATGTTTTACTATTAAAAATCACCCTGATAAAAAAAAAAAACATGATGGGAAATGTAAACTGCTGGTATCACATGAGATCCCAGTTCTTGAGAGAAAAATTACATAGGAAAAGCAGAACAAGACAGATTATGCAGATGTGGTCTCAGCAGACTTGTTGGGGTTAAAGGTCAAGGAAATGCTGTTAACCGCCTAACAGGGCCAGAAAAACCTGCGAAGGATACAACCCAGTGTTAAAATAAGCTCCTTTATCATACATTGATCTTCATGTTCCTCTTTTATAGTTCAGTAAATCTATTTAGTAATTTACACCAAGTTCAATATGAGCAATTATTAACCTAGAGACAGAAGCTCTGAACAGCATGTACAACCAAGAAAAAAGAGGCACCAGCTGCAGGATGGTGAGGTCTGGTGACAGCATACACTCTAAATCAATGGGATTTATATATATGAAAGTACATTTGGGCACAAACCCACACAGACTACTTCAGCGTATATCATGCTAATGATTGCTGATCCAGTGCCCTGGTTGGTAATACAAACAGCCCTAACTCAACTGAAACTCCACTAATGTTCATCCTTTTAAACCAAGCACACAGCTTTTAGGTTAGTCTCTTTATTATCCATCAAAAAATTAGAAATATCATGATCCAGTTAAATTTTAGAATTGTCTTCTTCTTTCCGTTGTTCTCTTTAGGGGTCACACCAGCACCTCACCCTGTCTGCAGCATCCTCCTCTGTCACACCAGCTTTCTGCAGGTCGTCTTTCACTTCATCCATGAATCTTCTCTGTGGTCTTTCCTGCCTGGCAGCTTTAACATCCTTTGTCCAGTATGTCTGCTATCCCTTCTCTGCATGTGTCAAAACCATTTCATCCTTGTGTTTCTACCTTTGATTTTTATATAATTTAAATGGACACAAGGATTTATATTAAAATATCCTTTTAATTACAATGTGCTTTTATTGTTTCTTTGTTGTTGTTTTTTTTTCGGCTGGGGGGGGGTTGCATTATTTCAATATAGTGAGGTAATGCATCTCCCACATACTATATTTATGTTGTTCAAAACAGATCTATATACCTAATAAGGATAATCACACACTAAACATATATTTTGTAGTATGACTAAAAGCACACTCTCATTTATTCCCCCCCTCCGCTTGCAGTCACATGATCCTTTCATTGACTTGACTTGTTATTTTGCATTGCTCCAGCAGAGGGAGCTGCTCATGCATCAACACCACTCAGTGTGGGCGCACGTTATTACCCTCAGAGTGAATTCAAACCAATAACTGCGGGGCCTTCAGCCGCTGCCATTTGTGGCTAACGTCCGTCATTTCCAAGAGAGACCTGGCAGCAAAAGTCATGTGTTATTTAAGGTAAGAAGGTGACAGATAAAGGAAGGAGTCTAAGTTTTCCTTATTGGAAATCAGCTCCTAATACAAAATAATTCCTGTTAATCTGACTGAGAGGTGTGGTCACTGATTAGAAGAAATGACGTGAGCAAGATTTCAAGGAAAGGGAAAAAACACGAGAGAGAGGGAGAGAGAGAAACACACGGAGAGGTAGACAAACAGGTGTCTGGTATCACTTTTGGTGGAGACTCGGCAGTATTGACTGATGGTAGTTGCGGTTTCACTTTGCGCAATGGTAGCTGTTGTGGGGGTTTGGGGTCCATTCCAGCTAAACAAGCAAACCATTTCCTGCCTTATTCGTAAATAACAATATTGCGATTTTAGTGCAGATTTTTTAAATCCATTTTTCACAGTAACACGTCAGTTTTATTAAAGCCATTTTGTAACAGATGTGTTATAACAAATTTCAGCTGTTGTTCACACCAGGATTAAAATTGCATGTGTGTTGTGCCATCTCATATACACACTCGGCCTGTTTTCCACTCCACTCCTACCACTCCCGTCATCCTTGCTGAACAGATATTGCTAATTAGCCAACTTTACAACTTGATAACTCAGTTTGAATGAGTCAGACCTTCCAAATAAGTGGCTTGAAAGTTTCCTTTAAATAAACCTTAACGTGGCAGTAACTGTGGTGAAACTAATGTAAAATACACCAAACAAGCATTTAAGTGAATGTGCAGAAACTTGGGTAAAATTTGTATTAAAGGTTCATCAAATAAATGATAAACCATGTTAAATAAGTTGTGTTAAATAAACGATGAAGAAATAAACATTGATTTTGGAATAAATCTATGACAATATTATAACATTTTACGTAAAAAATAGTCATAAAAATGTAAATGTATTACTGACCCATTTAATAAAGGCCTGTTCTTAACGTACTTTACAGCAGTGTACGTAATCATCTCTCAAATCAAGGACCTTGTAAACAAAATCACAGGAGCAGCAATTCCCCTTTTTTTTTTTTTATCTCAGAAGCCTCATTGTGAGTCACATAACCCTGAAAATCACGCAACAGCCTCATCATTGATGCATCACTTATACACTGGAAGTTGTAAATAGCTTTGTTTGCTAATAGGAATGTGAATGACATTTGTGCTATAAAGCTGATCTTATGCCTCTGGGCAGAGTGAGAGCAAACACAATGACTACCTGTATAATAATGGTGTCAACAACCTGTTGACGGAAAACCCCTGCGGAAAAAAAACCCCAGTTTCCTTTCTGTGCATGCGGTGTTGTGATTAATTGTTTCGTACAAAGCCAGCAGGACTTCCTTAAGGAAGAAGAGGGAGGAAAGTGGGGAGGTAAATGCAGCTATGCAGGCACTCTCAGCTAGATGAGATTTAAACAGTACATGTAGGAAAGACAAAAAAAAAAGAAAAGAATCAGAGAGAATTGCCCTCTTTTCCCTTGATGGGTAAAATTCAGAGCCTGTCAAGGGAAATTAAACTCCTCATGTCCTTGAACACAACTAAATCTCATCAGCGGAGCAGATTAGAAATTTCAGGCTATGAAGTCATTAACAGCAGCAGGTACACTGCATGTGTAAATCTGCTTACTTTAATACTGTGACCCAGCCGCTGTTAGTTTACCTCTTTGTGTTATTGTAGTAATCTAAACAGGAGATAAGAGGTAGTGGAAAGAGGAGGAGGGGAAGGGAGGGGAGGGGAGAAAAAAAGACGAATGCACTGATGTCAGTCCGTCCCACTTCTATTCAAGTACAAATGCCTGCATACCAGCACTGCTGACGACTGATCTGATCCCACACACACACACAAAGGCGCTCTGTGACGGCCTGTCGCGTCACACGCTCATCATAGCTCTCACTCACACAGGCACTGAAAGTCAGACCGGAGCTGGGAGATGCTACGAGTTGGCAGCTGCTGAGTAAGTCCACTTTCCCTCCTCTGCACTCCTCTTTCATTCTCTGCCTGCTTTTCTTGCTTGATTGCCATTCTCCGGCCCGTCTAAGTTCATTTATCTCTCACACTCTGCCCCGCCGCTGTGAAATGGCCAGTGTTTTCTAACACTGAGAGACCTTTCAAACTTTTCTCTCAGTATGCCGTGCACATGCCTTTCTGCTTTTCTTTCTTTCTTCTCGGTGTATGTGTAGCGGCAGAGAGGCAAACCCCTGGCTTATTTGCATGCTGGCGCAGAGCCAGAGCCCAATGCTTTACCTTTACAGAAGAATAACAGAGCCGCGAGTGTGCTAATTTTGTCCCTTTCTGTGATATTATTTCTCTAAAGAGTCTGCACGGGCTGTTATTGTCTTTGAGAAATCTGGACGCACTCACGTCTCAGTCTGAATGCTTCTCTTGTCCCAAATTCACACAGTTGATTGTGGGAGCTGTGGTGCAGGTGTAACGCTGTTCATGAATAGAGAGCTGAAGCAATTTGCCACAGAGCTGAATGTTTGCTATGAAGTCTTCGAGTCAGGTTGGGTTTATTTGAATTGCTCCCGATCACAATCTGAAAGGGCTTTAGCAGCCCCCATTCAATGTACAGAGGATAGGCATTCACATAGGCAAGAACATGGATCACAAAGACATCACAGCAAGGGAAAAAAACTACTGACAGATATTGAACGAAGGGACACTGGTTCTACAACTGACACCAATCCTGTTGTCAGTATCCTGGTTTCACTGCTTCATTTAAGCTGAATTATTCAGCTCTTGTCCAGGATTTAGCAGAAGTGGGCAGATCAATCCAAATATCGATAGTAATGATGCTAACTCTGGTATTGGAAATGAATCAATACTTGCCTGATAGGATCGATACTTTGTTTCTGTCCTCTAAGTACAGTATGAAGCTCACTGAACTAATTATTGTGGACGGTATAAATCACAGTGATTTAGGGTCATTAAAATGTGTTCAGAATTTGCAAACCGTCCATGATTCATCTCATAAATCATGACACACTGGACACACTGCTATAGCCTACATGAGCCGCTTTTGCAGGTTTTTTAGCATCAGTATGCGTGCTGATATCTGCACCTCTTGCCCTGTATCGGATCAGTACTAAAATTTGCAGTACTGAGCACCACTAGGATTTAGAATCACTAAATGGGCCCCCCTGTGAAGCACATGTGGCCACACCTAACCTCAAAGGGAACTTTTATCGGTGACCATAACACTCGATCGCTCTCAAGCGCTCATTGGTCAGCTTTTATCAGCCACACAAATCCTATTGGCTCTCACTCAGCAAAACATTAGCCCACATATTTTAAAAACTGCACAAGGTTGTTTTCTGGGATTTAGACTCTCAGGGCTTCCTGATTAATTTATAACTAACTGTGTTGACATGCATGTTGATAAGGTTCTGAAAAAACGAGACTGTGTGTGTGTGTGTGTTAGTGTGTGTGTGTGTGTGTGTGTGTGTGTGTGTGTGTGTAATATTCAACTCTTTATCCCTGGGTCTGTTACTCACAGATAGCATAGAGTCATTAGCACCCCACCCTGTCTATGTCTGTGTGTGTGAGTGTGTTGACATACTGAACCTGCCCCTATTTGCCCATCAGTGTTTGGAAGCACAGCAGCATTCTCACTGCAACACTCTCACACACACACACACACACACACACACACACACACACACACACACACACACACACACACACACACACACACACACACACACA